AAAAAAATAACCGGGCATTGTGGTGGGCTCCTGTTGTCCCAGCTACTTGGGAGGCTGAGGCAAGAGAATCACTTGAGCCCAAAAGTTTGGGGTTGCTGTGAGCTGTGATGCCACAGCACTCTACCAAGGATGACATAGTGAGACTCTGTCTCAAAACAATAAAAGACCAGCCTGAGCAAGAGAAAGAACCCTTCCCAACCAAAAATAGAAAAATGACCCAGGCGTTGTCAGGTGCCTATAGTTTCAGCTACTCTGGAGTTTGAATCAGGAGAATCTCTTGATCTCAGGAATTTGAGGTTTCTATGAGCTAGGCTAATGTCTTGGCATACTAGCCAGGGTGGTAAAGTAAGACTCTGTCCTAAAAAAGTGTAGTTATTTCAGTATTTTGTTACCTTAAAAGGTAGCATTTTATGAATTTTGAAGATGTTCTTTATCCCTGTCCATTCCTTTTATTCCAAGCAAGGAATTGACTTGCTTTTGGTATATTTTATTGTATTAAATGGGAGAAACGAAAGTGTTTTTCCTTTCTCACACACTCATACAACATGGCATAGAACACTTTTATAACCAGATGTATAGGGGGGTTTCTGCATACACCAAGCAGTCAAATCTCTAGCAGACACTGACTGGGTATGTTATAATTCAGTTCAATTCTGATACGACCTACCTGGAAATAGCATCCGATTCCACAGGGTTAGGGCTCATTCCTACAAGACTGCCCACTACTTTAGCTCCTGCTTTTTTAATCTGTGCTTTTGAATAATTCACTATAAATTGGGGTTCCCACAATCCCTTTCTTGGGTTTGATTAATTTGCTAAGATGGCAGACAAAACTCAGAGAAACAATTACTTAACATTTACTGTGTTTATTATAAAGGTTATTTTACAAAGGGCATAGGTGAATAGCCAGATAGAAGCAATGCATAGGGCAAGATGAATTTTAAGGAGTGGAGAACTTCCATCCTCTCTTTGGGCATGCCACCCTCAGGAACCTCCAACAATCTGAAACTCTCTGAACCTTGTCCTGCTGGGGGTTTTTTTGTTCTTACTGTTACAGTTGTCACTGCTGTTTTAGCTGGCTCTGGGCCGGGTTCAAACTAGCCACCCTTGGTATATGGGGCTGGCTCCCTACCCACTGAGCCACAGGTGCCACCTTGCTAGGGATTTTTTAGGGTTTTTTTGAGACAGAACCTCAAGCTATTGCTCTGGGTAGAGTGCTATAGCATCACAGCTCACAGCAACCTCCAACTCCTAGGCTTACGCAATTCTCTTGCCTCAGCCTCCCAAGTAGCTGAGACTACAGGTGCCCACCACAACGACCAGCTACTTTTTGGTTGTAGTTGTCATTGTTGTTTGGCAGGCCTGGGCTGGATTCAAACCCGCCAGCTCTGGTGTATATGGCTGGCACCTTAGTTGCTTGAGCTATAGGTGCAGAGCCATGTTTTTTTTTTTTTTCCCCTAAGAGAAAGTCTCACTCAGTTGCATTGAGTAGAGTGCCCCGGTGTCATAGCTTATATCAACCTCAAATTCCTGGGCTCAAAGCGATCCCTTTGCCTCAGCCTACCGATTACAGATGCCTGTCACAACACCCAGCTATTTTTAGAGATCGGGTCCCACTCTTACTCACACTGGTCTCGAACTCCTGAGCTCAGATGATCCACCCACCTCATCTTCCCTAAGTGCTAGGACTACAGGTGTGAGCCACTGCCCAGCCTCCTCCTGCTGGGTTTTTATGGAGGCTTCTTTACAGGCATGATTTACCTCTTGGCCATTGGTGAGCTCAACCTTTAACCCTTCTCTACTTCTTGGAGGTTGGTGGGTAGGACTGAAAGCCCTAGTCCCCAATCATATCTTGGTCTTTCTGGTGACCAGCCTCCATTCTGAAGCTATCTAGGGGGCCCCAGCTACCAATCATCTCATTAGGTTACAAAAAGACACTTAACACTCTGGAGATCTAAGTATTTGAGGAACTGTGTGTCAGGAACTAGGGACAGAGTCCGAATTTATATTTCTTATTATATTACAATAGGGAGTACCACATACCCTATAAGTGTAACTAACTAACTATTTCTTGGGTGCTTATCAGATACTAAGTAATAGAGAATTTCCAGTGTAGAACCTGACTCACCAGTGGGCACCAAGATTGGACTGGACACTTGGAAGAGAAACAGTGATAGGCATATTGTAATGAAAAAGCCAGGAAGTTTGCCATCAGATGATTTTTGTCCTGGCTGAAATTCTGCAACCTTGGCCATTAGAGCTCCAGTTCCAAATGAATCATGCAGATATACCATGTTTCCCCGAAAATAAGACACTGTCTTATATTTAATTTTTTCTCAAGAAGACACAACTAGGGCTTATTTTCAGGGGATATCTTATTTTTATTAAATATAATATAACAATCTACATTTATTCAAATACAGTTAAGTCATCTTCTTCTGGAACCTGACAGGGGGAGCTGACCTTGTTGGTGGGGCTGGCACTAGTGATGCGTGAACTCCTTTCCCCTAGCCGTTCGCACGTGTGCAATAGGATGCCTTCAACCACGGTTACCACACGCGCACCCGCGTGCGCACCCGTGCAAGTACAAACGGCTTGGAGAAAGCAGCTATGGCAGATAAAAGGTATTCCAGTCTTCCTTATGGCTCCATGCCGAAATGCATGGGCATGGCTATGCCCATCACTAGGTCTTATTATTGGGGAAGGGCTTTTATTTAACAAATGCATAAAAATCCTGTGAGGGCTTATTTTTTGGGTCGGTCTTATTTTCAGGGAAACACGGTAATGCTTATTTTCATCTGTACATCCAGGCAGGACGTATTCAAGCTATAATACCAACTGGAGGCTTCTTGAATTTACATTTGGTGACATGTGACAAAATGCCAGAAGTGCCTCTTGGATTGAGTTAGAGTAGAATCACAGCTTGTGAAAGTTTCTGAATTTTTGCCTTGCCTATAATTAAACAGTGAAGTGTAATGACTAGGGGGATTTTTAAAATCATCCAGTCTCAGTTTCTTCATTTTAAAAACAATAGAGTGACTTGCTTGAGCCTATATAGGAGCAAAACCTATTCAAGACCCCAGGTTTCCTGACTCCTAATTTAATTCTCCTGAGATTTTATTTCCTCCACTCAGTCTTTTCTTTTTTTGTACAGACTTGGAACGCCAGTTGGAAGAACAGAAGAAGCAAGCTCAGGATCATAGGCAGAAATCCCAGACGGTTCAAAATGTGGTACTGATGCCTGTGAGCACTCCTAAACCTCCAAAAAGGCCCCGGCTCCAGCGGCCAGCCTCCACCACTGTCCTGAGCCCTTCTCCTCCTGTCCAGCAGCCTCAGTTCACAGTCATCTCTCCCATCACCATCACACCAGTGGGTCAGTCATTTTCCATGGGCAATATTCCAGTGGCTACCCTCAGCCAGGGCTCCAGTCCTGTGACTGTCCACACACTTCCTTCTGGCCCTCAGCTCTTCCGCTATGCCACAGTGGTCTCTTCTACCAAGAGCAGCTCACCAGACACAGTGACCATCCATCCTTCATCCAGTTTGGCACTGCTAAGCTCTACCGCCATGCAGGATGGGAGTACCCTGGGCAATATGACCACCATGATGAGCCCTGTGGAGTTGGTGGCCATGGAGTCTGGCCTGACCTCAGCAATCCAGGCTGTTGAAAGCACCTCAGAGGATGGGCAAACCATCATTGAAATTGACCCAGCCCCAGACCCAGAGGCTGAAGATACTGAGGGCAAAGCAGTCATCTTGGAAACAGAGCTGAGGACTGAGGAGAAAGTTGTGGCTGAAATGGAAGAACACCAGCATCAAGTCCACAATGTGGAGATTGTGGTCTTAGAGGATTAACTGGGAGTCTTTTGGGGCCAGGAGATATGTTTTGGTTTGGAATTTTAATTATTTGTTTATTTTTATCATTGTCCCACTCATTTCCACATAGGATCCTTCTATCTTTTTTTTTTTTTTTTAAACAAATCTTGTTGTTGTAACTGAAAATGTTGGGTTCCTCTCAACCCCCTCGTTAAAAAATGGACAAAACAAGTTGCCCTTCTGGAAGTTGAGAATAGGTCATTCAATGTCCTAATCTTCTTACATCAAGAAAATAATTTCTTTTAGGAGAGGTATCAAGATGAACAGAAACCCTGTCCAGAAAGCCATTTCCAGGCTAGTCTGTCTGTCTGTATAAGCATGTGTTTTTATGCTGTAAAGATGCATTGGGCAAACCTTGGATCACAGATCTGACACTGGAAGGCAACCTATTTGCATGTGGATGCAGAAGGGCACTTTAAAGGGCCCTCAGAGCCCAGTGCAAAACTCTGAAACAAAGGAAGTAAAAAGTGAAGTGCTTTGGTGAGGATGGGGAAGGAAATTATCTTACTTCCAGAGGCACAGCTGATGTTTGTTGAGCTCTCCAAGGGTTACTACATAGGTGCCATTTTGAGAAGAGGCCGGTGATAGGTGGAAGGGTGCATCTCTGCCGAGAAAGTGGCAGCAGTGGCCTGTGGCTTTGCAGAAATAGAAATCCAAGGATGCCACAGCTGTGCTTTGGGGTTCAAGCACTTTGTCAAAGCACTTACCCTCCCAAACTAGAATCAGTCCGTTTATTTGCAAACTCTGTGATGTGATATAAATCGTTCTGGTTCTTAGACTGTGGCTGCCATGAGGGTGGGGCTCCAAGGCTGTCATTTTATTGCATGACTCCAGGAGCAGGGGAGTTCCTTATCCAGACCAGCTGCCATTTTCAGTGGGGCCATTTTTTGGATTTGGAACCAAAAAGCAGCCACTCACTTGGTGCTTCCTCTTGTTCTACCCTCTATCCCTCAATTCTTAATGGCATCTGCCTCCTGGATCCCACACTCTTTAGCTTTTTGGCTGATTTGGAGAATCAGTGAGAGGTGCCTGCCTGCCTTCATCCCCTTTTAGATTCATTTATACCACAGATGTTTCTGTGAGATCTTGAGCTCATAAAAAGCTTTAGGCTTGGCAGGGAAGAGTCAACACCCCCAGCTTTTCTTGCAGCACCGACTAGATGTCTCCTCCTGAGTGAGCTGGACTCCCTGGGAAAGAAGCATTGTCTTCAACATTATATTATAGGAAATGTACCAGGAATGTCAATAATAATGTCTTAGGGGGGTTATTTTGTTTTGTTTTCCTTTTAAAAAAAATATTGTTTGTATATTTAGAGCTGATTCCTTCTCTTTGACCATCTTCAGTGTTTGGGGCAAGAGTGGATCCTGGGTTTTGTTTTTTTTTATTGCATTGTTACTGCACTAGGAACAATATAGGGAAACTGCAGACAACTTAAAGGAAAAATAGGTTAAAAAAGAAAGCACACATCTTAGGAGTGGGAGGATATTTTTTTTTTTAATTAAAAACAAAACTTTGACCTGTAGTTTCTTTCTTTCTTTCTTTTTTTAAGAAGGCACCCACCTGAAGCCATGTTTCTTTTCAACAGATGTTAGAAACCCCATCAAGCAAGTGAAAATGGCATTCTACCATCCCTCAGATGGTTGTACGTAGCTAGAGAAGCTTTCTCACTTGGGGAGATCACTCTTAAATACCTTAACAGTGAGATTTATGAATCCCATACAGTTGTAGGTTTCAGCTTTAAAATTATCTGGAGTTTTGTTTTTCTTTTCTAAATATCTACTAGACTTAGCAATCAGTTTAGAACAAATCTTTGACTCTATGTATTTAGTGAGGGAAGTGGCTTTTGTTTCCTGCTTCTTTAGGTTTTCTGTTAGTACATAAACAAGATTTCTGTGTAAGACTGAAAGTACTGCTTGAACTTAGAAAGGCACATCTCATCCCTATTGTGATTTTAGGGACATGCTTTTGTCTTTCCCAGAGATGAAAGGACCAGTTCAGGACAGGAGAGGAGCCCTAGAGAATACTGACAGGCTAGCTCAGGTTCCCTTCTTTCCTCCATCAGAGCTGTTGGTAGTATTTTAAGGTAGCGTGAGCATCATGCTTCCAAAGTCAAGAGCTCTTCTCCTCCATGCTTCCGAAGTCAAGAGCTCTCCGCCTCCTCAAGACGTGGCCTGTGGCCTGTTTACTTTCACTATATGAATATTCTGTCCGGTGAAATACACAAGCTTTGTTATTTTCCTGGTCTTCTGGTAGCCTGTCATTATTGCTAGATGCTGTGGTACCTGTTGTCAAGTGTGGGTTCCCTCACCCAGGTCTAGAGACATAATGCAAGCCATTGGTATGTGCATAAACAGTCGCAATGAATCCCTCCTCAGGCTGACTTGGCAGCAGCCATTTATCTTTCTATTCATTCATTAAATAAACATTTTTGAGTATCATCTATGTGCCAGGCTTTGTGCTAGGCACTGGCAGTACAGAGATTAAGACACAGTCCCTGCACTCAAGGAATTCATACACCAGGCATCTGGAGTTACAAACTACATATATCACTACTGTAACTGGTTTCCTTTTGTAATCCTATATATTCTATTTTATGCATTGAAAAACATTATTTAAGAATTGGTGGCTTTCACCTGTAGTCCTAGCTACTTGGGAGGCTGAGGCAAGAGAATTGCTTAAGCACGAGAGTTTAAGGTTGCTGTGAGCTGTGATGACGCGACACTCTAACAAGGGTGACATAGTGAGACTCTG